CTCCATAATTTGGGGGTGGGGTGGGGGTCGCAGCTAAGTCAGATGGCCTCTTTCCCTGTCAAAGGGGACTTCTGGCTGTAGGGAATAGTGGTATGAAAAATCTATACTCACAAATAATATAAAAGGATTTACATATGATTTTTAAAATATATTATTTTCACTACTTATTTTTCTTCCTAATTATATTTGATATTATATACTATTAAAACCAGTTGGCCTTGCTAAATAAGCCATGGGATAGCCAGTTAGCTATCCCAGTTTAGCTAACTCACCTCCTAATTGTTGAGCATGTAGATGTGTGTGGGGTGCGTGTGTAACGCTTTCAAATGTTTAATATGTAACAAGTAATATATGCATAATAAATAGCATATAACAAATAATATCTAATAAGTCATACATTGAATAAAAAAATGTATGAATCATACATTGAATAAAAAACTTCTGTGGGTAATCTACATGTGAGTAATTAGAATTATATCACCAAAAATGTTCAACTCCTTCAGATAAGAATAATCATTATTTATTGAGTACTCACTATGTATGTGCCCAACATGCCGAATGATTTACATATAATATCTAATTTAATCTTTCTCTGTCCTTAGAGGGCGCTATCTTTTCCATTTGCGTATCTTCCATTCCTAACGCAGTGTCTGAACGGTAGTAGTTTAATAATAGATATTTATTGGGTGAATGGGTACTTTCTTGGCCTTGATTTTCAGGCCCCAGGAGAGCAGGGCTCACACCTAGCCTGCTCACACCTAGCCCTCTCCTGGCACCTGTCACAGCAGCTGGGATAGGCTGGCACTTCTGCACAGTGTGTTACCTGGGCCAAGGACACCCAGGCATCCTCACTACACCAGAAACTCCACAAGGTCAGGGAGCTGGCCCCTTCCTACCTCACTGTGTCCTCACAGCCTAGAGCAGTGAAGACTTCTCAGAGCAGGGACTCGATAAATGATTGTTGAGGAAACAACTCCTCTCATCGATGCCATAACTAGGCAGTGAAAATGTGGTTGACAGCTATGGGGCCGAAGCAACGGAGCTGTGATTTCAGAGCGGCATGATGGCGCCGTAGACTAGAGGGACCTGGGAGGCTTCCTGTAGGAGGTGGCCTTGAAGCACATGTGAATTTGAGAAGGTGGAGATCAGAAATGCAGACATCTTAGACAGAGGGACAGTCAGCATGAAGGCGGGCCGATGTGAGGGAAACAGGGTCATCCTCAGGGACATCTCAGAAGCCGGGCAGGGGTGGCGTCTTGGTTCCTGACCGTCCAGACCTGTCTTCACCAGAAGCAGTAACATTTCCATGTGTACACTAACTTCTAAAATGTTATTTGAGCAAAGTGTACTGCTGCTTTAAGATAAAAGGTAGGTGAAAACCCCTGAAACGATGAAATGGGATATCGGGTTGGAAAAGGGAACTAGAGACCCCATACATCAGGCCTTGGGAGCCAACGAAGGATGACGGTCTGGGGACTGGCCTTGTCCAGCTATGTCCATTAGCACCGTGTCCATGGACAAGTGACATGATTTTGCTGATTCTGTTCCCAGTAAAAGAAGGATCATAAGAATTGTTACCTCGTGATCAAGTTCCTAGGACTAAACACGTGCATACACGAGAAATGTTATGTAAATTTGAGTGTGCTATGTGTTAGCAGTTATTTTTAGTTTTAATATGGAAGATCTAGATGAATGAAAGATCAAAGTGAGAACCACAAAAGGTGCTACTCTCAGGGACCGGTGCGTTGAAGCAGTTGGGGAAGATTAATTTGGCCTTGGGAAGTGGGCCAGAAGGAGGGAGGTAGGTCAGGAGTCAGGAGCTTGAAGGCTCCCTGATTCCCACTCATCTGTGGGGTCCGAAGGCGATGAAGGCACAGGGGTCAGTGCCACACACACAAGCGAGTGTCCCAGCTTCCGTCAGTCCACGGAAGGAGGGAGCACACTTGGGATGTGTGCATCCAAATATGGAAGGGATCTCATCATCTCTGGGGTCCGTGCCCGAAAACCCCACTGTTTTGCTTGAGTTCCTTGTGAACAAAGCTCCGAGAAGATGAGACGCTCCCACGACCGGTTGCTTTCCCCAGACGGCCAGCCAGCTGCTTTTCTCCCGGCGCTCCCCGGCTGCGGGAAGGGACCTGGCAGTGCCTCTCCGGGGCACCCGCTGGTTCCAGCCGGGGCCTGTGACCCTGCGAAGTCTCCGTGGATTTCAAAGGCGGTCTGGACCCAAAAGACACGGGAGCAGGCGCAAGGCAGTTCTCAGCCGGGCAGCAAGGTCACCTTGCAGCCAGGGTGGGGGGAGACCCTGTCTACCCTTCTAGTGACTGAACAGAGCTGCCTTAAAAAAACTAAGCCCTATTCTCCCAGTTCCAGATGCTTCCTTAATTTCCTGCCCTTTGCTCAGACTAAAGAGGCCCAGCCCTGGGCCCAGGTCCCGGAGCGGGCAGGTTTCGTGCGCGTCTGTGAGAAAGCAACCTCGAGTCGCCCCAGTGTGGAGACAGACGGGGGACAGGACTCTCTGTCTCGGGCAAACGTCTCCCCATCCCTGGAAGACACACTTCCCCTGTTTCCCCGCCCCCCTGACCTCACCCTCCGGGGATCTGACGGAACAGGGGCGCGCACAGCCCTCGGAGGGGCGCGGCCCTGCCCGCGTCCCGCTGCAGCTGCCCGGTGCCCGGGCTCCTCCGAGCGGCTGCTGCGCTCCCAGGGCCCCGGCGCCGCGATGGGGGTGCTGAAGGGACC